TTTCGCCGGCAAACGGCAACCCTTAGAGAAAAGTAATAACAAAGGGAGGGAAAGTTCCGGAGACGTAATAAAACATCGGGACACAAATATCGAATATCAGAAAACCTTCTTGTGTTACCGAATTTGCGGCGAAACTTTCGGCGCCGAATCAGCCCTGAGAAAGAAAAAGATGTAAATGTACCCACGCCCGATATCAATTCCCTTTGCTGTTTACTCGAAATCAAGGCTCGCCAAGTTCCTCTGCGAGAAATCAGATCCCAGTTGATTTGTTGAAATGATGAAATGTTTATTTATATCCTTGTGTAATGCAATGCCTTGGTTGAAATATTATTATGGAGTAGCCACGTGACGGTCTCGGCTTTTGCGTGAATTACACGTCGACTAGTCCCTATCATGTAGTGACGTAAAATAGACGTAATTTTACCCCGATCAAAATGACCGACGCGTACTTAAGTTGCATATATGCATGTATAATAAAATCCCACAGTCGATATTAAGTCTGCCGCTTGACCAATTTAAATGTAAAATTAAAAATCAACTAATGATTAAAGCTAGATTATTTATATACTTTATTTACCTTTTAAACAAATCTTATGTTAATATACTCACTGTTGCTTCTTAATACATTTATTGTAATATTTTGTACATACGTCATAACCTTCATTATATTCTAAAGAATAGTGACAGACATAAAATAAATATTAGAAATAAGGACAAACTTACTACGCCATTGTTTCGCCTACAAAAAGTAAATAGGTCGTTCATGGGGCAAAGTGTGCGCATATATAATAAAATCCCACAGTCGATATTAAGTCTGCCATTTGACGAATTTAAATGTATAATTAAAAATCAACTAATGATTAAAGCATATTATACCATTTCGGAATATCTCGACGACGCCAATGTGTGGAGTTAATACTGTTGATACTCACGTAGGCTAGAATAAGACTATTATGCCTGTATATTATATTGTACCCTGATATTTTTGAAAAAGAGCAACTGTTGAGTTTCTTGCCGGTCTCTTCTCAACAGAAACCGCTTTCCGAACCGGTGGTACCTTACGAACCTATACACATAATCTTTGATGTAAAATTTGACGATTCATAAGAGCGCGACGTCTTTTTGATATGAGCATAATTGTTTACCACTTACCATTTAAAGAAAAAATGGTGTGTGAAAAAACCGTTCAAATCTAGGTAAAATACTGTAATTTTCAAATCAGGATAACATGATCGGGCGGATCCTGCGTGATGATGGTGAATGATTTTCATAAAAATCCGCTCAAATAGTTCCTGTAGAATTATATATTAATTCGTGTTTCAAGTACATTTTATATACAAAAATTTACACGGAACCAACTGGAAAAACTATCAGAAGGAAATGCTTAGTCTCCATGAGGATGTAACTATTCCGAAACCTACGAGATTTCAATCAAATGTGCAAACCTGATCAGGTGACAAATGAACCGTCCGATTCGCTCGACGGCAAATTGGATCTGATCTCAATCTATATTTGGATCTATGCTGAACTAGAAAACGCCATTAGTAGATTCCAGGGACATAATTGCCTCAAATTTCTCAACTGTAATCCAATATTTGATCTTATTTCACTGACCCGGATCGGACGTAAGATAGCCTTAACGGTGGTATGGCCACGCAGTAACGGTGGTGTTTAAAATGTTTAATTATAATGACCTCTAATAATTTTAATGATGAAAATCAAAAGTTGACCACATGCAACAGACTATATCTTCATTGCTTAACTCTAAAAAACTTACTTTGGAAACCACAGTTAACCCAGGTAGCCGACGCCTACTTTTTAATGGTTGTTAAATAATCTGCATCTCGTCAGGTGTTGAACATGTCCTCGAGACGGGGTGTTAATTTAACATCACGTGACGCCACAACAATATTAACAAAAAAGTAAATTAATTAAAAATCGAACACTTAATATTTAAAATTTTATGAAATAATAAAAGCGGTAAGTAAATAACGCGGAGTAAATTCAAACCCCGAGAATCGTTTATTTATTTCTTTATTATAGAAGTGGGGAGTGCAGACTATCCAATTTATTATACGTGTATAGTATACTGGCAGAGGGGAACTGTGGAAGCAATCGAAATGAGGACCTTAAATCCAAGAGCAGTCAGAGCTTATTTCAATAATAAAGTGCCTTGCGTGCGCCAAATTCGTTGGAGGTTTTGCAATTAAGCCTTTGATCGTCAGGAATTCAGCGAGCCAGTTCTCTAATTCAGTAAAGGAAATTTGACGAACGCGCCACACTGTTCGGCTAATCTAGGTAATAACTAAACTTCCAAATTTAAAATTTGACTGTCTTTTTTATTATTATTATCTAATATATATACTTAATTCTTGTGTCACAGTTTTAGTGTTGATACACCTCCGAAATTGCTTGACCGATTTTGATGAAACTTTATTTGTATATTCAGTAGGTATGAGAATAGATTTATAATTTTTTTTTATCCTACAAATAATTTATATGGCAAAACAACGTATGCCGGATCACCTAGTTTTATATAGAAGTTGAATATGTTTCATATTTATTGACCATTGAACTGATTCTAATGTTTCTTTCACTTTAAAAAAATGCCATATACTTGAATAACTAATGTTATATTTAATATACATAGGTCAATGTAAGTTCTTGTTAATGTCTACCTAGTAAACCATAGAAATTAATCACATATAGCAAGCTGAAAGCTGCTTCTTCTCTAACCGAGCGAAGAGTCACCAAGAAGAAGAGAGAGTCACCAGAAGAGGCCATAAAGAGAAGACATCTCTTCCAAAATAGTAAGAGGGGGTTTTCGTTGCTTGGTAAAAAACTTAATTACTGAACTCGACTATCTTCCTGTTGTAAATTATCTCACGACTTGAAATGTTTATTTGTTGATTGAAATATTATGTTGTTAACTTTTGTATTTATACATTTAAAGAGCGCCATAAATAGTGCAAATAAATAATTATAACGCTTCCGCTTACATTTTATAAACGTACCAAATGAGAATTTAAAAAAAAACATAATCGAAATGAGAACCTCCATTTTGAAGTCGGTTAAACAATGGAGCGTTGTCGTTCAAATACAATGTCGATTTAAATACAAATTTTCGCGATGCCCAAAACATAATGACACACACTCATCGGAATGTACTTATATATGTAGAGTATACATCGCGTTGTATCACATTTGCGCCCGATTTAAGGCGACGAGACAAAAAACCGGCACGATTTGGGACGGTGGAACATAACATGCATGTAACTTGTTTTGTCTAAACTTTAATAAAATTGATATGTGCGCACATACTAAACTAATATAACGCCCTGCGTGTTCTGTATAATAATGCCTTCAGAATGCTGCTGGGGCTGCCCCGTTTCTGCAGTGCCTCTGGTATGTTCGCGGAAGCAAGAACGGACGATTTATATGCCATAATGCGCAAAAAACCTCTTTTTATTATTGTTATTATACTAAATAAAAATAATTTAGGACACATTTTTACACAACGTTCTCTAGTCCCAAACTAAGCAACGCTTGTACTATGGGTACTAGATTACTGATAACCATACTTCTCTCTTGTAAATAAATACATATTATGCATATATAAACACCCAGACACTAGAAAAACACTATGTTCATCACACAATATTTTTCCAGTAGTGGGGCTCGAACCCACACCCTCTGGCGTAGGAGGCAAGTACACTACCCACTAGGCCTTTCGGGTCGTCTGTAACTTGATAATAGTGAAATTTACATATATTCTAGTGTGAACAAAGGCCTCTGTACATGTTTTATGGGTTCTTTTGTAATAAAGAAAGCTTCTACGGTTCACATGTAACAGTGTATTTCAGTTACATGCGTATCAATTATATGTGAGTAAGAAAATGTTTTGAGCTTCCCTTATTTTTTGAACATGTGGATGAAATTCAATGAATAAAATTAACATGTTTTCCAGTAAAATATTTCGATAAAAATTACCCAAACATCACGGTAACTAAATATTTTCCTTTACCAGTTGTACAATGCTATGAAATCGTTATGCAATAAAAGAAAACTTCATCAATACGAATAGCAAAAGATTGGCGCGGTCATAAAGTGTAACGAAATACTTTATGACAATTCTTCTTTGTCTTTAAGGTCTCGCATCAATTTTATTTTACATCCAATATTTCCTACGGCCGCGTTTGGATTTTTACCTCATTTTTATTCCCCCATTTTTTCTTCATATTCAATTTATTTTGTTTCCGTTTCAATGGATCGTGAAAATTCAATATCCTCTTACGTATACGAGTACGTGTGCTTTATTACACTTATCATAAAAAAATACAGTACACACGTAAAAATGTTGACGTCCGTCTGTTTGAATATTTTGTGACTTACAATTGATTCTCATAACGCCAGCTTGCTCGCCGGCTTTGCGAAGATATACAAATGTAACTTACATTTGACGACCCAGTTGGCGTTGTGGATATTGAACCTGTCTCTTGAGCCATAGGGTGTGGGTTCGATGTTTATAGCTCTTTCAATATGGCCTATCTAAAAGAGCCCACATTCACGGTCCAGCTTGCCTAGCCTCCTGGAGCTTGCAAAGGCACTTGACATATAATAAAAACTGAGTAAACTTTTTCTCTAATATAAAAATAATCCATATGGTTACAATGGTAACGTCCCAAACTCAATAAAAAACCTTATAAAACAGGTTACAAATCCGTAAAAACTTTTTAACGTTGAGCCTAATTTATTTAATTAATTAGTTTACTCACAAGACGAGTAGACGAGTATACTTTTAAAATACCGGCATATACCTATTATAGAACAATAAATAAGTGACATTACGCAATTCATAGACGGCAGAAGCTTCCTAAGCAGAAAGCAGCTAAGACTAAGGCAGAGTTTCGTCCAAAAACGTGTTTTACTGGCGTGTATTTAATAAACTACAGTTGACTGCTATCGCAAGACAGACATATGCTATCTCAGACACGACAATTATGCAAATCCATACGGCGGACCGCACCCGGAACGCACAAGTTCTGCGGGTAATTAAAGACGCGCCCCACTCGTGTCGGGTCACAGTCGACGCCGGCAAAAACGGCGACACCGTTAATCCACCGCGCGTCCCCGGCAGACATCAAAGGGAATTCCGAACGAACCTATTTGGCCGGCGCACGCAAATTGTGCCCGCGCTTTTTCGACGAGCCCACCGTCGAAATTCCCTCATGGACAATGCAACGTGGGGCGCACGAAATGATCCGTCAGTTGCGTTGTTTGTTTGTTCTATTTTCCTTTGCCCTCGGTCCGTTCTATTTTTAAAAAGTTCCCCGACTTACTGGAGTATTTTAAAACGTCATCGGGTAGTTTTTAATTTATGTTCGTAATATGGGTGTTGCAAACATAAGTAAAGATTGACTGGGGATCAGGAGTCATGCATTAGGAGTTCGTTAATTTACAACTTACGTTCTTCAGGTGGATACTGAACCTTCGCCCTGCTTTGCCAAAGCCAATTAGCAACGCTGTGACTAAACCATCAAAACATTACAGCATCATCATCAGCCGGAAGATATCCACTGTGAACAAAGGCCTCCCACTTAGGACGCCACAACGTACAAGACTACCAATCCACGCACATTAATTTCAAATTTTCCTGATTTTTTTTATGTGAAAAGTTGCCAAGCGAGCAGACAGTTCACCTGATGTTAAGTGAATACCGCCACCCATGGAAATCCGCTACACCCGAGCGTTGCAGATGCGTTGACAACCTTTTGAAAATTGGGCTCCGACTACCTCATTCACCGGACGAAACGCGAAAGTAATATACTTCCACTGTACGCCGGTCTTCTGCGAGACGAGCCTGCCCAATCCCTACCACCATTAAAATTAAATTCGAAATCAATTAGATTATTAATTGATTCAGATGAATTGTTAAAGTGGTTAAAATAAAACCACAACAATGGAATAACGAGATAAAATATAGAAAATAAAAATATTATACAATAAGTAAAATATATCAGTAATGGTATTGGGGTGAGTATATTTATATTAAATCATTAAAAAAAATTAAAAAGATCCTAACTACTATTTTAAAAGTCTTTAAGGCTTATATATCTATAGACAGTAGATATAAATATCCTAATTAGTGAATTGTGTGACACTAATTAATTAAAAGTGGCTCTTTATTAAGTCACATACTTGATCAACGTGAAATCATATACTTGCGTAAATTTTTAAGTATAAAAATTATTATTAAATAATAGTATTTTGAGAATATTTCAAGCCGTTAGTATTAGGTACATTTGCTTTTTTGTCATTAACTCACGTACGTCTTACTATTTATTAACTTCCTCAATTATTTGGGGGTACAAAAATTAATTGATCTTATTTCACTTTCCTACACCCATTCGCCTGGGCGATCTAAGAAAAGTTTCGCGTGCCCAAACGTTCAGAGCACTAAAGGCGAACTCTTTTAAAATTCCGATTGAAATGGGGTGAAACGTTTAAACGAAATCACAACCGATGCCGATGTCGATTCGGGGCGGGACAAAGGCGATTACGAGCAAAATGGACTGCTAATGAATTGCTAAGCGCTATTCAACTAATGGCCGAGGCTCCGTTTCACTTCGGCGAATTAAACGCTCCCGCAACGTGGCCTAATGAGGCAATGGAGGGAAGGCGAACTGGAAAAATCGTTCGGCAATCGAAACCAGATCTCCGCGAGCCGAATCTATTGCGTGACTCGATTTAGACGGAGGCGTTCGATGCATCGGAAGTCATTTGCAATGCAAAACCGATCGGCATTCGGAGTACGTATCTGATTACTTTCGACATCGGCTTTATGATTTATTTGCCAAAAATACACATAGAAAAATATGCAAGATATAGAATAATGTTTCTTAAATATTCTAACTATACACAGTAATTCTGTTTATATAGTTACGACGATTGTAATTCAGACGAGAAGAAATATAAAATCATGAATTCAATGATATTTTAAGGTGACCGTGTAGTTTAGCCGCCGATTTAAAGCTGGCAGTGACTTATTTATAGTTATGTTTAAAACTTTAAGGTCAGATGTCTGTCAGTGACGAATAACTAGTTTAAAGTTTCTAATCAAGTTTAGTTTTAATGTGTACGTAATAAAACAAAATGTCAGCATTCAACAAATATTTCAGATTTGCTCGTCGATCGCTACTTTGTCAGTAATTTACCCGATAAGAGAAACTGAGAAAATGTAAGACAAATGTACATCAAAAATCTTCGTTCCAAGTAACTTAAAACCTTATCGCAATGATCCTAAGAGCAGATGCCATAAAAAGTTGACTCAACTTCGTCGCCAATCAGAAAAAGGATAGAACTATGAACACAAAGTAATTAGACGATAAGGAATATAATTCGGTATACAATTAAATTTTAAAAGCAAATCCATGGAAAAAATTGGCGGTTTTCAATTAAAGTGAACAATTTGCCATTCCATATTGGTATAGATTGCTTGCATTACTTAAAGAAAATTGATGAAATTTGAGAAAATTGATTTCTTAATCCCGTCTCATGGTGTTAATTGCCTATAACATTAAAAAATTTAAGGGTTGTTTTTAAAAAATATTCATTTTATTATACATTCGATTTCACAAGTATCTCACCAATTACAACGATGATGCAGTTTATTTGGACCCTTTTCGTTGTATTTTGTTTTTGATTGTATTACTCATGCGAATCCTAACTGTACATAAATCTTCTCCCATTTCCAAAGGTTATGGACAACGTCTCCCAAAAAATCATTAAACGCTTACGGGATGAATAAAGTAACGTTCATTTTTGTATATAGAATATTATCAGTATCAAAGTGATATTGGTTCGCGAAATATTATTAACGAGTGGTCTCAATTTGTACGCCATGTCCCGTGTTGCTTGTTAGAACCTGAGCCCTGGTCTTTGGTAGTTTCATCGTAGGGAGCACGGATCGTGTTGAACATTAAATCAAATATCCAAGTGGATACGGAAAACTGTTATGTGACTTTAGACATAAAACCATGTACGTCCTTATTCAATAAGCATGCAATTATTGATGGGAATAAAAAGTAACCTACAAAACGGATCTTTCCATACTTAGTGGTTAAATTAGTTGATTGATTTTATAATAATTAATATTTATGATGAAACATAAATAGGAGTTGTAATTAATTTTTATTAAATGGTCGAAATGTGACGCGTTAACTCAAAACGACGGTTCTCGGATATGGCAGTTGGATTGAAATTAAAAGTAGTAACTTTTTGAGAATTGAATCAATTAGATATAAATAAATATTTTGAAGACATATTTTTACGTAACAGATAAACAAACATAAAAATTCGTTTATAAAGATACATATTATATGTAAACACCTAAACATTGGAAAAACACTATACTTAAACACTATACTAAAAACACTATCACACAAGTGGTTCGACCCAACAACTTCTGAGTATTTACTATAACTTTTACCGTGTTCATTAGGTATATGTTAACGCTTTTGACTCAATACAATCACAAGTCGTCGACAGCAAATGCACAAGAACACCTCCGTCTATTCGATAAAGCTTCCCGTGAATTCCCCGGAGGCCAATAGGCGTCATTAATGCGCCATAAAATTGTTCACGACGCCATCGTCGTGTTGGAATTGAAAATAACGCGACGGAAGACATAAAAAGATCGAGTTACAGGCCGCGTCGCTTTCCCGCCCTGCAAATATGCCACGATATTATTGCTTCGTATAAGTTGTGCCTTCTAGAACATGCAAAGGAAACGTATGTAACAAACGCTTTTATTTATTTAGAATCTGCCTAACCAATGATGTTTTAATAAAGATGACACACGTCCATACTGCGCCGCGTTTAAAAATTATTCCACTTTACATTAAATGACATATATGAGTGAATGTGACTGATGATATAAAACGTATAATACGGAAAGAGTCTATATAATTGCAATCTAATTACACCAATTGGCGTAATCTGAGTGCCTCAGAATCGGTGCACTAGTATTACATATAATCTACCTCGTATTGGTACATAATATCATTGTGCCTGATTGCAACATCTGTGGGGTTGGAAATGCCAACCTTTAAAAGAGTGGTAGGATCACTCAGCAGCCTCGGCTGTTGCACGAATGGACAGGCTCGTCCGGGTAAGTACCACGACCTCACAGAAGACCGGCGTCAAGTGGATGTATAATACTTTCGCGTTTGTCTGGTGAGTATGGTAGCCGGAGCCCAATTTTCAAAAGGCTGTGAACGCACCTGCAACCCTCGGGTGTAGCAGATGTCCATGGGCGGTGGTATTCACTTAACATTTAGGTGGACCGCCAGCTCGCTTGGCAACTTCTCACATAAAAAAGTCAGCATCGTCTATTTCGCACACAAGATGAAAGGCAGAACAAATACTTGCTTTACATCAGACTTAACTCACTGGATGGACGCCCCAATTGTGTAATACAGTAAAAAAGCCTTAATGTTATGTAATTTGTATTTCACTAATCAATTACTAATTGATTAATCAGATTAATCAAAAATTCCAATTCTACAAAAACCCTTTATTGATATTTCTCGACTAAGTTATATCTATCGGTTATATAAAGTTCTAAACGAATTGAGAATTCGAAATCCGAAAAAAAGGTACATTTTCATAAGTTCTATGCAAAATAACGTACTCACTGGGAATATTCAGTAAAGGTTAAACATTATAAAGAACATAATGGATAATAATTTGCCGACACCAACACTTAATGAAAAATAGTTTGCCAGAATCGATTACAAGTAATTTTATAAATAACTAAATGCATAATTTTATCTATTTTATTGACTAAGTTCCAGTTAATATCGAAAGAATTTGTTACAGACAATTTTAATATAGATAAACAAAAGTTTTAGATAGTGCTTAAGGATACAAGAAAGCCAAATTAATATTACTCTAATTATTTCCTGTATTAAGGTGAATATTGGCATAAAATTAATTAATATCAGATATAACACTGGCTACTGTCTGCCAAAACTCAGTCTGTCTCGTGGCCATGTACGGTGTAAAGTGTTTGGACGGTCCGCGTCGGGAATTTAAAATCAAAATAAAACGTGATAATATCCGTAAAATACTTTAAAAAAAAACCATGGATGTTGCTTGTTCAATCCTTGTATATGTATATTAAATGTTATTCTAGAGTTCCATCACGAGAACATTCATTAAGTCTCCGTAAGTATCAATTGTTCGTCATACCTTTTCTATTTCCTCTTATTCGCGTTCAATTTGTTTTGTTTCCGACCCGATGGCTTGAAGAAACTCGATACCGTCGCTCACGTATGCAAGGATGCTTTATTACACTTATAAAAACCTCCCTATCGGCGAACGACTTACTTTCACTTTCTTCTTGAAATAGCTCCTCAATCATTCTACGAAATAACAAAATTTATGTGTTAGAACATTGGTGAACAGTGGCTTGGGACCTGAGGTCCTGATCCTGAGGTCCTGACCTTGAAACCCAAAACAACTATATTTAAGTTTTTCTAATAATATATCTAATCACTGTTCTGTTGTCAGCGATACGTTTCACGATTTTTCATGTCCCGGATCCCAATAATTTTGATGAAATCTCGATTACACTAAATCTTTATCTGTCTAACTCGTTGTGGTAAAATCACGGACACGAGAGATCATATTGTAAAGTGCTTAAATGTGACTACCTTTACTGGTTTTACTTATTTCATTAAAAAAAACAAAATTCAGGTGATTAGAATATTTTGCAACATTCATTGTCACTGGAAGGACCGATTGGATGTGTTGTCTTCGCAAAATAGATCTTATAATAAAAGAGACAAATAGATAAGTTATGTATCATAATATTGCACATAAATAATTTTCGAAATTTGCCGAACCAATTCGTCCATTCTGAACTATTTGAACATCGCAATTTATATCCGCAATTAGTCAGTTACAGAACGATGTTTCTGGATTGAACACGATAATTATGTAAATAAACTGAGACGAAGTTCCAAACAGTTATGCTGTAATTAACAACGTCGCTTATCTGCGAGTAACGTGAACCGAAGTTGGGAATAAGAGTGGGCGGCGCTCTCAGGCCTTCAGACGCCGTTGTCTCCGACAAAAACAACTACTACGCTAATTTAACGCTTTGTTCCGTTCCAAAGAGATTAGCGGGAATTAAAATTACCCCGCTGTATACATCAACACAATTTCTTCAACGTACGACTGGGTTCCCTGAATTAACTAAAGATCAAAGTACTTAGCGAAAATACATTTTCTAACTTAACAGTAAGGAGTTCTAAAAAATAACAACATAATTGTAATTGAATGAGTCTTTTAGGGTTCCGTGCCCAAAGGTTAAAACGAGACCCCTATTACGAAGACAGTGGATGTCTGTCTGCCTGTCCGTCTGTCACCAGGCTGTATTTCATGTACCGTGATAGCTAGACAGTTGAAATTACACAGATGACGTATTTCTGTTTTCTCAATAACAACAAATACTAAAAAACAGAAAAAAAAATTTATAGGGGCTCCCATACATTTTTATTGTTGATTATCAACATATTTTCACTTAATAATTCCGCATTACGTCTACTATAAAAGTGACTTCTACATAAGTAGTAGATTAGATATTCCGATTTTAGTAGTGTCGTTAAGAAGATATTGTCTTGTTCAATATTCTGATGACTAGGAAAATTATAATACAAATAGTGCTTCGCGACCATTTCCTTCTTTGCTTTGAAAATGCTATTCAACAGAAGAAATTCAACAGAATTAAATTAAACATCAGTCTATACACATATTTAACTTACTTTTAAGGACAGGAAAATTTTCTGCGGTAGGGCCCTGCAATGGCAGTAGTTTTCACACGCGGAAAGTTTACCTGTTATACAAATTTCCTGGGAAGTACCAGGACTTAACAGAAGACGTGAATTGGAAGTTCTACATTTCGTCTGATGAGTGAGGTAACCGGGGCCAGTTTATTGTGATGTGGCAACGCTTTTATAACCCTACGGGTGTTGTTAATATCCATGGGCGGCGGTCATCACTTAACATCAGGTGAACCATCACCTCGATTGCTTCTTACATAAAAAAAAAGATTCTCGTAACGACAAAACGGAATGATATAAAAATGTCATAGTTTCCACAATTAATTTTCTGTACATTCCAGTAGGAGAATAGAAAAATTCAACCGTACAACGCGCTGTTGACCGGACAATGGAAATCGAACTATTTCAGTAATAAGCGAATAAAGGGAGGGGCCCGGAGTCCCGGACATTTTTCCGTGACGACATTAATCAGGCCTAATCGCTTCCGTGGAATCTTTTCAACGAGACACAATGTGAGGCACTTCAGCTCATTAATAAAGGACGTTGCTCTATATCCTACGCCTGCAGTCGACATGTTCCGATAATTATTTCATGACCGAGAGCCCTTAAGCTCTCCCATCGACCACTGCTGCGATGACAAAGCGCTAATTTCAGACCTGATTTGTTTTAATATCCACACTCGCCCGTATGTGGAATCTTTATATTAGCCCCATGTATAATTTTTTCATTAGTTTAATTGTATTAAACCTGCAATCCGCCTTCGTATATGTAAGATTAATCATCCAAAAAAAAAATGTTGATACGATCGCTACCAAATTTCACAGGATCACAAACATTTGAAGAATGCCTGAAAATTTCATGTGGAATATGTGAAAAAAGAAACTTTTTTCATGTATCGTTAATTAAGCATTTTTAATCCGTTTTTGACACAATTAACGACTTTATTACGAAATATGTTATTATAAACTTAATACTACTTGGAAATATTTTTTTTTTACTACCAGAAATCTGTAACATTTATTACTTGCCTATATTTATATAAAAAGGCTGAAGCCCGTTTTAACGATTGTCTTATTTTGCCGGCCTCTTTAAAGACTTTTTGACTTCAAGATTTGTATTTTCATGTATAAGTAAAGTGTTGTCTTCACACAGAAAAAAACAAAACAAAATTTGACAGATTTCCGTTCCTCGAGAATTTTATTAAACGTCTCATTTTTGCATAGTGCATGAAAAATTTGTTTATTGGCTGGCGTGACGGCGGTAAAAATAAAAAAAGATCATTTGATGCGGTCTTCTTTGGCAAGCGGCACAGCTCCGCGAGCCAACGTAGCCAATAAACAGAACTAACGTTGCATAAAACCCCCCTGGTAGGTATCGGTGATTGCTAAAGTTGAATAGCTCCCAAAAGTCACTAAACGACCTGCGAACCCAAATTAAAAGGTTATTATATAATTTTACTAGCGACCCGCCCCGGCTTAGCACGGGGGAAATGCTGAATGTTTCTTTTCGACATCGCATTAGAAACCTCTTAATTTATCAGTTATTCTCTACTATATTGTGCATGAATTATACATATAAACCTTCCTCCTGAATCACTATGAATTAAACAAAACCACATCAATATCCGTTGCGCAGTTTTAAAGATCTAAGAATTATTACAGGGACAGACAGACAGCGGGACGACTTTTTTTTATACTATGTAGTGAAAATGAATAACGATGTGGTGCATTCTAAACATGACAGTATTAAATACGTATTAGCCGATGATTTGCAATTTTGTAGTTCTGTCACCGATGTATGGCCAAACACTTGAAGAATAGCTCCACGGTCATTGCTAGTATGTAGTCGGACATATCTTGCCCCGTTTAAAAAGATTTAAAGCCACAATCCTTTAATTGTTAATAACTTCTTTACTGCCTGATCCCGAAAATTATAAAATATTTATATGGTATGTGGTTGCTTGCAGAAATCTCAATTCTGCCAGCTAGATATACCAAATAATTAAAATAATTGCGACGTTTCTCATCTAGTCAGCACTCCTAGTTTTTCCTTACTGAATCGTCCACAATATGGAGATGTATTACTATTTACATAATTTACAAGAAAAAACCACACTTTCATACTCCTTACATTTTATTACTAAAAAGTGGATAAAACACAATGAAGTTTCCTCGAATTAAACTGTTGCTTTTGCAACCTAAGATTCAAAATGTAGTTATTATTACTAGCATCAATGATATTATATACAAGGTATAGTAGGTATAGATATGATACTAGCGCACCGAAACTGAGGCGCTCAAATTACGCCAATTGGTGTGATTCTATAGAGTTCAATCTCTTTCCGTATCATACGTTCTATATCATCTGTCACATTCACTTATATCCTTACTAATATTATAAAGGCGAAAGTTTTTGAAGTGAAACTTCTTTATCGGGGTTGGAAAAAAATTTAGTGTAACATTTTTTTGCGTTACGCGCCATCTTTTTCTTATCTTAAAATGTTCCTCTAACGCCATCTAGTGTTGAATAGGGGGTTTTATGTCGTCTTTATCCTTTAGTGGTTTTAATAGTTGACGCTAGATGGCGTTAGTTCCTTTATTTGTTCATAACAATAATATGTATATATGTTATATTAAAGTGATCAGCAAAATCAAAGGGTTTATTTTAATTCTAATTCTAAAATGTAAACAATATATTTCGTATTTCAGTTACCATAAGCCATTAATAACACAAATATATAATAACAACATCAATGATAGTAATAATTCTATTACAATTAATGAAATTCAATAATAATATTTGTAGTAATGACAGTGCTAGCTCTAATACTTCAGAGCACGACACTGTAGAGACTTCCTCTTCTCCAAAGGCAGGCACCGCCCACCGTGACCTGACTGCGCCGTCCACCGAAGACACAATCCGAAGCTGACCGATGATGCTCTTCGAAGCCTCGATCGGCTCCTGGAACTTGCGGTTGCGACGTCGATCCAACGTCCGCAAGTTCGATTTTCCAAAAAAAACTTCACTCACAACACTCGCGCGCGAGTCGAATGTCTGCCTTCTACTCACTGGCTGACTATTCGGCAACGAAGGACCATGTACAAATTCAAAGCGGTTGTATTTTGGGTCCGTGGTGTTAATTGAAATAAACAAGGTTCACGTTGCAAGTTTTTTAATCAACAATTTTTTGCGGACCCTCATACTAATTACAACGGTCAAACCATAGTGTGTTTTAATTTACTACTAACGCCACCTATGTATTACAAATAAGAAACTAAATATTATACAAAGCTAAAACATCATTACGTGACCAGGATAAATTATTGATCTTTCTATAGGATCTTCCTAAAGGTAATAATTAGCCGTATAAATATTATCGTGATCGTCATGTTCGGTAGGACCTTATTTACGTTGTGTTTATTTAGTAACTTGATTCTTTTAGGTGTATCTTGGATAGATAAATATTCACTAGTCGTGGTATAAGCCAGAGATAATGTCAGATTGCTTTCTTAACAACTAATCCCGACTCGCTTGAGACGGGCTCAGAGTATATAGTATACTCCCTGTCACGCTTGTTAAGGGCTCACAATATAATTTTAAACTAATATCCCTTCTCTCTTGAAAAGGGCTCACATCAATTTTACATACCCGATACAAGTCAACAGCTCCCCCACATTTAAAAAAAAATGTAGGGAAGGCACACGGCTCCATGAAAACACTCACCAACGCCGTGTGCGGTGAGCGCCAACCAACATATTGCGCCCCCCCCCCCCCCCCGGAAGGGACAAAAAGTTGGGGAAAGGACCGAAGTCCATTGCAAAGCTGTTTTACCAGCATAAAGAGGGCTTGGCCCCTTGGCAGTGCGTAAGCACAAACTTTGACCGAAGTCGCGCATGTCAATGCGTGTAAACGTCATACAAGTCAACGACAAATCCAGTCTTCGTGAATGAACGTCAATACGGTTTTGGGCATGTGTTAAAGATCAGGCACTCTGGCCCTATGATATAATAAGCCCTCCGTAAGCGCCACCACTTTTGCCAGATCGCCGCGACTGCAGACGTGATTGTTAGTGTTTTGGCATCACCACCATTAAAAAGGTTAGCACCACATTTCGTCGCAGAGCGCGTTATGAGTCACTGCTCACCCCAAGGGTATGGTTAAAACGTTGCACGGCATCGCCGCAGCCTTGAGAGGTTTTCTCCCGCCAGCTACCATCCACATGAGGTAAACGCATATGCTCCACCAACCATTGAAATAGTCAGATATAGCCATAGTTGTGATTTTTATGTTTAGCCATCAGAAGGGTTTATAATTGGCAACATATATTTATTTGTCAGTGTCTCTGACGTTGAGTATAGTGTATTTTCGATCAAATTTGTCTCACCCACCAGCAAGTTGCCATTATTCGTTCGAACCGTGGGAACTTTACTGAGATTCGTTAATCATGTTAAAACGTATAAGAGAGGTCAGACAGTCTGCAGTTCCGTCATCAGGAACCCGACTTGGACAAATCTACTGAGATGTGCATCAAACCAAGACGCAGACTCGGCCATTATGAATAGCGTCGCCTCCCAAGCAAATGTCGTAAGACGCAATGTCACTAAATGCAACATGCATCAATACAACTATCGCAGGTCAACACGCCAACATACAGCCTATCCGCATACACAGCAGACATCATCACCTCGAACCTCCGTCAACCAGAATCATACGATGCAATGATATTAGGAGCAGATCACCCCGCAAATACCACAAGACGCAGTTCTGCATATAGCCGCATTCATCAATGTGACTATCGCGTAGGTGACACACCCTCACACCACACCAATATAACTCCAATCAACTTCGGCTCCAAAGTTTAGAATATACTCGGAACACACGAAGTGTCCAAACATACTCTTTCACGATCCGAATGATAGTCGACGTATCATAGCGTAAACACTAAGACGCCAACCACCAACGGACCCCCACCCAAGCCAAGTAATAGCCAACGTATCATAGTGGAATACACTAAGACGCAAGCCACCACCAGACTCCCCAAAGTCAGATGATCAGTCGACGTATCATAGTGCAACACACTAAGACGCCAACTACCACCAAACTCTTACTATGCCGAATGACAGCCAACGTATCATAGTGATGGTCACTAAGACGCCAACTACCACCAGCTATCGATGATATGTCCTCCACTCAAGACATATCCATTCATGGTTCCACGTTTACCGTAGACCATATCGTCGTACAGAAGTACCACGCAACTCCATAGTAATATCTCTTATAAAGTCCCAAGTCGTTCATTGCTCTTCATTATATTTATATATTTATTATTTTTTCTCTGAGCCTTCACATATTATTACTTTTATCCATTAGACCTTACTTCCATATGATATTGGTATGGGACGTTCATACAATGTACTTTCACTATAGTACTAAGAGTCGCGATCGACCTCTGTACTTATATATGTACGATCATACAATTGTGTCCCGGCACGGTACATAATACTTCCCTTAGAAATCACTAAGTATGGAATTATATTTAATTGACATAATAGTGATCGTATCTTGCTATATTTTTAATAAATATCCTTTTTTGAGTATTTTAAGTGATTTTTAACTATTTTTTATCAATTTTTGATAATATCATTTTCTCATACTAACACTTATATTTCTTTAATTTAAGTACATAAACTTTTATTGTGACTAAACGTTCTTAAACGTTTTACTTTCATCTTAATTGATCTTTATTATGACTAATTAATAATAATATTTAGGCGTAGGGAAGTGACGACCCCATCGCCCACCGGCGTAACAGTTCGAGTGACAGAACTGTTGCGCCGGCGCAATCAGTCAGCGCCTTGCCAATAGGTTTTTGCACCGTGCCTCGGCATAAGTGAGGGTGCATAGGCCCGTCTGTGCGTTCGGCCACACTACAGAAAACGGTGCCGGTCTGGGGGCGTCTTCCGTTAAACGACGCCCTAAAAATGGATGATGGAAAAAAGAAGGGAAAGCGCATAGGGCCGCTGCCTGGGGGCCGCCAGGGTGCGTCTGGAGCTGGCGCTGGACGTGGCAGCATGCGGGACGCCAGCCGAGCGCGGGGTACTGCACGACCACCAAGCAGTACCTCGCATCCATCATCCCCACCAGTTGGCTTGGTGTCGGCAGGATCCTCTCGGATCCAGCAATCGGCACCCGCCGCTGGTGGAATACGCCGCTTGCGCTGGACTGAAGAAATGAATAGGAACGCAATGCGGGCGTATCTTAGGGCGAAAGGGAGTGAGACTGGAGGGTTTGCGTATTGGGCAAGGATGCATCGCTTTTTTGCTGAGCTGGAGCCATCTATAACCGTCACCGAGCAAAACCTGGCAGATCGAGTTCGGTACATCATGCGCTCAAAAATATTTGATGATACCGAGCTCGAACGACTACGACGTGAGGCTGTTCCCTCATCGGATGAAAATGTAGTGGCTGGGGATACGGCCCCACAAGCTGCGGACCCTGCAGGGTTACAAGCAGATGCGGAGGCCGCGGTTAACCCCCCGCTCCTGTAGAATCGTGCGATGATGGAATAGTCGCCCAAGAAATAGAGCAGATGGGAAGCATATTGGAGGAGGCAATTCTGGAGGTGCGCGAAACGCCTCTCGAGAGTCGACCACGTCTCCCCCGCATACCCCTAAATAAGCGGAGTCGGTCTGTCGTGAGGTCTCTTAACCCGATGCTGGCAACCTATTTGGAAGCTAGCCGGGACCTTTGCGATACGGACTCAATTCTCTTTGGCGCTGCACTGGCAGTATGCCGAATCGTTGGCGCCAAACTTCCCAAGGCTGGACGTGCTACCAGACCAGGTAGCACTATCCCAGCATGGAGAAGAAGAATTGAGGACCGTATCGCAAAGGTAAGGGCCATCATCGGCAGGCTGATAAGCTTCAGGTCGGGCAATAATAGGCCCAGAATTGTGCGCACCGTTAGGATGTCGTTCGCTGGGACCAACATAAACTTGTCCCAGCCGGACATTACGCAAAAACTAACGGAGCGCATAGATGACCTGAAGCAGAGGATCACTGCTTGGGGGAAGCGGATTCGGAGATATTCCGAGAGGACGGCGCGGTTTAGCCAGAATCGCCTCTTCCAGAGTGACCAAAAGAGGCTCTACAAATCTTTGGAGCGACCAATGAGTTGTGGAACGGGCCAAGGACCGGACCAGGCAGACACTGTCGCCTTCTGGCGCAGCCTGTGGTCAGAGCCCGTAGACCACAGTGAGGGCCCTTGGACACAAGTCGTGGCGAGCCAATGTGCAGACATTACACCCATGGACCCCGTCGTCATAACACCCGACGACGTATCCGAAGCAGTCCGTAGAGCCCCGAACTGGAAAAGTCCGGGACTCGATGGGCTGCATCACTACTGGCTGAAGGGGTTCGTGGTGTGTCATGCTGTGCTCGCCCGACAGTTCCAAGAGGCTCTCGATCAGAGGTCGCTCCCGAGCCTCTTTACTACTGGGGTCACTCATTTGGTTCCTAAAGATCAGGTTACCACAGACCCGAGTAAGTACCGCCTCATTACGTGTCTACCTACCATCTATAAGACACTGACATCTATTCTGAGTATGAGAATCACCCGGCATATTAATATGAATCGGATTATGTCTCGTACTCAGAATGGATGTCGGGGCGGCGGTCGTGGAACCAAGGAACCGCTTCTCATCGACGCGGTCATTGGTAAAATGGTTAAACGCAACCGTCGGACCCTCTCCGCCGCCTGGATAGACTACAAAAAGGCATTCGACTCGGTGCCCCATACATGGCTAAAGAGGTTCCTCGAACTGTACAAAGTAGACTGTACAGTAAGAGACTTCCTTGAGCACTGTATGGGGCAATGGAGTACGATCCTTTGTCATCTAGGCGAGCGGATGACGGCTGCGGAATACCGGATAAGGATACGACGGGGGTATTTTCCAGGGCGACTGTTTGAGTCCAATATGGTTTTGCCTCTCCCTGAATCCTCTCAGCGTATTACTGGAGGGCTCGGGGGGAGGATTTCAGCTTCGGAGAGGAGGGACAAAAGTGACCCACCTTTTCTACATGGATGACCTCAAGTTATTCGCCTCCAATCGCTCCCTTGATGGAATTACTTAAAGTCACTTGTGATTTCAGCAATTCTATCAAAATGGAGCTCGGGACGGATAAGTGTGCGGTCCTTCATGTCGAAAGAGGTAAGGTCACTAAAACGGCGGGCATAGACTTATCTATGCCCGTTAACATAAGGACCCTCTCTGAGGCTGAAACATACCGATACCTGGGTATGTCACAAAACATGTGTATTGAAGAGGCTGGCATGAAACAGTCAGTTCGTGATGTGTTTTTTGCACGCCTGACAAAGGTGTTTAACAGCCATTTGTCAGGCGTGAACAAGGCACGCGCATTTAACGGCTGGGTCATGCCAGTCCTCATGTATACCTTTGGCATACTCAGGTGGACTCAAACTGAGCTCAATGCCCTGGACCGAAAAGTCCGCAACTACTTCCCGGCGAGATCGGATGAGTCAATCTACAAGGACGTCATTAGTTGTGATAAAGGACTTACCCCTCTATCCTTAGCCAACGAGCAATGGCAGGACCCGGGAGTACTGAGCGTTTCCGACCGAGAGGCCGTATGGAAGGAGAAAGAGCTCCACGGGAGGTTCTACAAGGCTCTACACGAGCCTTTCGTAGATACTGTTGCCTCCCTTAACTGGCTACGTTTCGGTGACCTCTTTGGGGAAACCGAAGGTTTTGTCTGTGCGATACAGGATCAGGTTATTAAGACGAACAACTATCGGAGATACATCCTAAAGGATGGCACCATCGACATCTGTCGAGCTTGTTGCCATCCCGGGGAGTCGCTTCGGCATGTTATCTCCGGTTGTTCCATGCTTTCTAACTCTGAGTATCTGCATAGACACAACCTAGTAGCCAGAATCCTACACCAGGAGCTCGCTCTGAAATACGGCCGCGTGGAACGGAAACTGCCGTATTATAAGTACTCTCCGGAGGCCGTGCTCGAAAATGACCGCGCCAGGCTCTATTGGGACCGGTCCATCATTACGGACAGGACGATTGTCGCGAACAAACCTGATATCGTGTTGATGGACCGGGCACAGTCGCGGGTATTTTTGGTCGACATTACCATTCCATATGACGAGAACCTCGTGAAAGCCGAAACAGATAAGAAGACGAAGTATCTGGACCTGGCTCACGAGGTGACCGACATGTGGGGTGGTGTGCCGACCGAAATTATCCCGATAGTCGTGTCTGCGAATAGGTTGATCCCAGTCAGCCTCTCTAAACATCTGAGGCGACTGGGACTCCGGGACGGATCGCTCCAGGCTCAAATGCAGAAGGCGGTGCTCCTCGATACCGCCCGCATCGTCCGCCGGTTTCTCTCCCTTTCGCCCTAACCCTCGTCCGTTTGGTCTCCCCTGCCGAGGGCTTCCGTCTGGTTGGGTCCTATTTATACATGTATTATATAAAATATTTATATATATATATATGTTTATTTTTATCCATAATATTTATTTTATATATGCAATATATATCTATATCTTTATTTTTATTTTTATTTTTATTTATAAACCCAACCAGACGAGAAAACAAATGAATATCCCCCCATATTTATTATTATTAATAGGTCGTTACAGTATGATAATAAAAGCCTTTTATTAAACTTTATCTAATTTAACTTTATTTAACCAATTTCTGTAAAGTTGCAATAGTAAATAATTTTTTGAAAAATAACGTCATAAAAAAGTTTCACTTCTTACGAGTGTACGCTAGTACACGCACACATTTTTTTTATGTATAGATGGGTGTTTGTTTCTCTTTCACGCAAATACTACTGAATGGATTTTAATAAAACTTTACAATAATATAGCTTATACATCAGAATACGACATAGGCTATTATTTATATACATGTTTTACGTATATCCGTCTTTTGTCTGAATGTTACGCCAGACGTAGTCGCGGGCAGCAGCTAGTATTTCATAAGTATAATGTAAAGTGGAACAATTTTTTCAACCCCGCTCAGTATGGACATACGTCGTCTATATTATTAAACATTATTGACTAGCATAATTCTACGGCAGGCACTGTCCTTATGGGATTCAGTAAGCTAGGTACCTTCTTTCCTTAACCCTTATTAGAGGTTAAATCCTTATAAGATTTCTGTTTCTTGCGGCGACCCAAGAACCAGTTCATGTTGCCTTCCTTACTGGTGTGGTTTCAATGGACAATCGGGTCTTTTAACCCAATTATAGTCTTATACGTTTATGGGATACAGTGACGATAACCTGCTGGCTATATGCTCACCTTTTACGACAGCCTGAAATTTATCCCGTTGAATTATTCTATGGGTCCAAAATTGCTACAGGGCTATTTTTTATTTAACTCTGGTAATACTCTTTTACTGTCATTAAAATGTCTGCTTCTTATTATTATAGTAAATTAGATGTTCCAAAAATTTCGATCTTCTAGTAACTCCAATCTGTTAACCGCTTTAAAATTGAATCTCTTTTCGCGGCTCATTTGACTAGGGATGTCGAAAAAATATCGATTTTTGATTTTAATAATCAATATTTTAGCGACATATTTGGATTCAATATCTAATAAAATCATATCAAAAACGATATTTTTTCAAATTTGAATGCGGCTCAGAGTCCTTACATGTCAAATATTTAATACTTGACATACCTTTTTTCTGGACAATAGTCCTAAACAGAAAATTTCGATATTTTCGATTAAAAAATATGGATATATCGATATATATCTTCTCTTTCGACATCCCTACATTTGACCCGCTTGCTCAATCGCGGATTGACGATATGTTGCTTATATTTTATTTAATCTCTTCCCGCCTCACTTCCGAACTCACAATCTGTCGTCTTACAAGAAAACCAACATATCCAAATCAAAATTTACAATTTACATAATACGTGCGTTCCTTTCGTCTCGAAAGTTTCCACATCAATTCTGTGTCACCGAGCATAACGAGTTCTTTCAGCAATGGGCCTTCTAATTTCTATAATACTTTTTTGACAAACTTTGATGTATCGCATTGGACGTGGATATGAAGTCGTAATTATCATCTCAACGCCGGGAAGACCAAGTTAGATGCCCAAGGGAAATAATCGAAACTAAAATTTTGAGGTTATGGTAGATATAGTAACATCTGTCACGAAAACGTCACAGCATTTCCCTGGCCGTACCTTGGGGGAAACAAGGTGTTCTAATTTGGCAAGGGCAAGGCTTTTGCGCAGCCTCATTCGCCTAAAACTTCGCGCAATCAATTCAAAATAAAGAAGATTGCAATATTTGTTTCTTCAAATATCACCATCATACACGTCCACTAGATGGAGTGACGACCTGTGCAAATGTGCGGGAAGTCAATGGATGCAGGGTCGTACTTCGTGGCAGCCTATGTTCAGCAGTGAACTCAAACAGGCTGAAAATGTGATGATCACACTGTCTTATTAAAATGATTTAGCCAAGAATAATTTATCCTTCAAGTAATATAAACATGTATTTTATTTAATTTTATTCGGAAACTTACAGTTTAGCTAAGTTAACTTATGTCGGTGAATTAAGAAGATCCCGTACAACAAAACATTTAAGACTCCTGGTCACCGCAAACATCCAAATAATCTACGTAGGAATGTCTTCACTGCAACACCCCGGCTCATATAGGGTGCATCGCAGTCTATTAAATTCATTGCCAAACTTTGCCCCGCAAACTTAACTCCGTACTGCCGTATGCAATATACAACCAAGTTTACGATTCGCAAGGGGCTTCCTTCCTTGATTTTCATTTTACGATAAGCGTCGACGCCAGTTGCAACTGTTAAATATACCATATACTGTGCCGTCAATGACAAAAAATCGTAATATTAAAAATATCGTAATATTAAAAAGCCCTTGTTAAAATTTAAAACATTCCATAAATTCCAATGAATTTATAAACATCGGATGTAATGATTCCTGCGCGAATTAAAACAAACACTATACATTATTAAAATAAGCTATTTAACCGATGTTTTAAGTATTTTGCAACATTGAACACTCAAGGCCATTGGACGGACTGTGTTATGCGTCATATTTTGACTGTTAACCCCAGCTACGGTTGCAGAATTTGAATGAGAATTTGAATGGTCTTTAATAGCTCGCGAATCATCCTTGTTCTAAACCGATCTTCGATTCTGAAATACAGCGGGAATCAATACATGAGAAGGAAATATACATATTTCCAATTCATATGTAAATTGATGAAACTGCAAAATTAGTTTCTGTAAATCAAGCCTTTGAACCTCTTTTATTGAACTATAGATACGGAATGTAATATTTAATTTTACAAAACCAAGCCATAATTAATCTCAACGTAATTATAGACAAAAAAACCATGTAATGGTTATATATACCACTTATATATTTTTATTCTGTTTTATTTCTTGTTATAGCGACAACAGAAATACATCATCTGTAAAAATTTCAACTGTCTAACTATCACGGTTCATGAGATACAGCCTGGTGACAGACGAACAGACAGACAGCGAAGTCTTAGTAATAGAGTCTCGTTTTACCCTATGGGTACGGAACCCTAAAAACTGAATAAGATTCAGATGTGAGACAACTCAAGGATATAATAATATTTAAGTAAAATTTATTCAAATCCCGATTTTAAATTGTGTTTTTACACAGTTAATACAATAAAATTTTAATACACAAATAAAATTTG